ACACACACACACACACACACACACACACACACACACACACACACAAAGCATATAAACATAGTCACAATCACATACCATTAAATAACATTATAGTCATCCTGTTACGTTGTGCACAACAATATAAACTATAGTATAGTAATATTTGCCTGAATGCCTTATGCCGCCGTACTCTCTACTAACAGATCAGATGAGCAGCACATCATAGCATTAAAATTTTTCGTTTTCTTATTTTTCCCGCATGTAACAAAAGCTGCATGAGAATTTCTTGCTTGCTTGCGAAGATAATTTCGCATATATATATGTGGGTGTATAAGGCATGTGTATATGAGTCTGCAAATAGTGTAGAAATTATAGTTAAACCTATATATACATCCGCGCACACTTATCCAAAACATAATGTAGGGGTGGTTTAATGCCAATATTGCGTTAATATTTGGAAGAAAGAAATCCAGCACACATTAAGTGAACACAGTATCGACCGTAAGTAATCGTACCACCATCATTATCGCGTCATCGTATAATTAAGAGATGAAATTCCCCTTAATTGGTTAACAATTTCTTGTACACAAATATGATATCAAATTAACACACGGTGTAAAGGGTTAATCAAATGCAAACAAATCTTAAAGCTTCAAAGCATTAAAATATGAAAATTTTTAATTAATGAATTTACGAATGAAGGATACTTTCCGAATTTATCTTATAAGAGAGAACGTGGGAGAGTGGAGGGGTAGAGAAAGTGAGAGGACGAACAAGGCAGATAACACTGGAACTCCTTGCTTGACCAAATTAATTGACCAAAATAAACCGAAGCTGAAGCTTGTCTAGTTGGACAGAGGGAGTGGGGGAAAGGGAAGAGAAAGAATAAGAGAAAGAGAAAAAGCACGAGGCAGAGAATATTGGAACGGCTTGTTTGGCAATTCAATGCATCGAATTAAGTCGAGGCCAAGCCTTGTTGTGTATCCTAGGCATTACATTATGAAATAAGTAATAGGTTCCTAGAAAAAACAAAAAACAAAAGAAGGATTCTTGTTATACCGCCTTCTTCTCAAACATTTTCATTGTTGTGGCTTAGTGACATGTATTGAAGAAAAGTCTTCCTAAGTAGTTATGATGTGTTTATCTGAATTTCCCATCCCAGTTATAATCAGTTCTGTAACTATTTTGACATTTGACATTTCTAACTTAAATCCTTAATAGTTAAAACAGTCTTTCTCCATCCACTGAGTAACTAATTTCTTTATCTTAAACTTTAACAAATGTACTCCTAAGGGATTAGGACTTCCAGTTCACCTAACGAAGTCAGGGGTAGAAATGAGCGGATGTGTAATCGAGCCCCACTGTGCTTTGATTGTAAACTCCCTTCACAATGATTTTCTTCCTATCTGCCTTGTATCCATAATTTTACTCACTTGGCAATCACTACAACCTTAAACAAGTAAACATACTGTGTAGAACACGGTTCACCAATAAGGGCCTCACAGTTATTTATATAACAACATTTCAAAATAAGGTGTTATATAGAATCCCGTTAAAGAAACGATCCGACATAAGCCATTTTCAATAGCGTTTGTCCTTGAGCCTTGACAAGACGAATAGACGGACTAATGGGCAGACGAACAGACAACGAAGATTGGTATAAAAAAAAGTGTGAAGTAAGGTATAAAAGAAAACAATGGCATGAATGTCCTACAGAGTTATGTCTTCACCGGATGTACCCATACCAAATTCCAAAGAACATGTTACGTATTCTCCAACAAGTTCTTCATATCTTCTGTAAGCAAATTTTTGTTTTTCACTAAAATTTTGTGGATTTTCCTGTCCAATTACAGTTTCCAGTCCAAGATAGTGCAATAATCCTTCTAATGGACTTTGATGTCCAACCATTTCATTGAGAATTGTTCAGGAAGTTAAGACGAGCGTAGGCTGTATAGCTTATCGAGGTGAACTTAATAACAAACATTCACAAAACCAGTCCATTCAAACCAGTTGACGCTAGTTGACTCTTTTAGATGTTATGCCAAACACTTTCGTTTATGTGTACATAGTAAAATGCTTCATAAAGGCAACAAATGAATTACTTCCCCTCACTTCCACGTCGTTGGTGGGGGTTAAAAAAATGGTGTTTCATTTCTTTCCTTTTTTTGTATACGGTTCTGATTTACGTCAACCGAAGGTTGAGAGGCACAAAGTCAAAAAGTTTGCAGCATCCAGAAAGGACCTTCAGAGACCACACAAAGTCGAATGCGGACAATTACAATTTTTTTTGTGCGTGCAGCTTTGTAGACACCTTAACAGCACCTGGCGAACATAATATTAATAAAATATTTAGCTTTATTAAAATGGTAAAACTAACCGCCCAGTCTACTTTCCTTAAGCAACAGGGCCGATACCTTAACTCTACAATCTGTGCCTTTGGCCCAAATAAACCATAATAATAATAATAATAATAATAATAATAATAATGATAATTACAATGAAAGAGAAGAAGAGTTTTTTAAGTCAACAGTATTATTATCATTCTTCTTTATGGCAAGCTGGCCTGTTCATTTCGTAGTTTTGTTAGGTCTTTCTGTGCAGGAGAGTTGTCTTCAATTCTTTAATTTTCATTTTACCATTGCTTAAACGCTTCCTTTTTTGACCAGGATTGTTGTCAGTTTTCTATAATTTTGTTTCTCAATATCGTTTCATTTTTCATACGTTTCGTTTACTCGTTGAATTTACATAACTTATGCAATAATTGGCAGTTGCCGCCTTATCTTTTCGAAAGTCATGGTTCACTTTTTATTTTACCCACTGATATCTTACAAAAAAAAAAAAAAAAAAAAATATCTTAGGCAAGAACACTTCCGGTCAGTTTTCTATATTGCATAGCTCGTTGATTTCGGAAGCGATTAGTCAATCAGATAATTAACACTTGAGTGAAACTGAAATCAAATTTCATATCAATAGATGTCCTGTGAGTTTCATGTTCGTTGTTGAACTATGTATTCGCGAGTTCAAATCTCAATTCGGTAAATTCTACTCTTGGCGTAGTTATAGTGAGTGCTCAGCCGATAAAGCCACTAACTGATTGGGCACACATCCACTAGGACTACGGCCGCTTCCCTGTTTTTTCTCTTTCCTCACTTCTTTCCGACCGTCAACGTATAAGACGAATAGTGAACATCTCCTGAGTGATTCGTTATACAATAAAAAAGAAAAAAAGAAACAAAATGTGAACGCCTGGTCATGCCAATTTAGCTCCATTATGAGGGATGGGAAACGCACATATTATTGTATGGGTTATCTGTCTTCCAGCTGCCGATAAGGATGTATTGGCTACTGGGTTCACTGGTCGGAAAAATGTGTCACACTTTCCAGTCCAGTTGAAGTCTATTCAAAAGCCCTTGGCTCACGCGCCTGGTTGTGCCGTAATTTCACGCAGCCCCTTAACACAGCTCTGTGTTTCCCTTGTGAATCATAGCCGGGTCCTACCTGTGTAATTAGAATAACTTCGGTAATATCGATACGGCCGTAGGTTTTCCAAAGGAACTGCAGAAAATATCAATACAACAGCCCATGTATCAGTCGGAAAGTTGTTGCCATAGATTCACAGCCAATCGCGCAGCCAATGAGTTTTATGTTGCCATAAAGTTTTTTAAAACCCTAAGGAAAAATATCACTACAGAAGATCCTTGTCGTGCTTTCGAGCCTAGCTGCGCATTCCTTTGTCCGCATACTTCCTTGATAATACCACTACAGGGAAAAGAAGATCGATAGGTAACTTAGGACTCCTTTACAGTCTCATTCCCTTATCAGTAGCAGCACACTATTTCAGCGATTGCGTTGCATACAAAGATATTTCCAGTTACCTCCTCTGAAACAGTTAAAGCGTATGACAATAGAAGGGTCGGATTTAGCTTTTGAATTGAACACATTTGATTTGAGAAGGGATTTTTTTTTTAAAGGATGCTGTCCGTGATCAAACTGAAATTTTCCAAAAATTTCGTTTTTCCGGGACTTTTTTTAAAAAGTAAAAAAAAAGAAGAAACGTAAAGCTGTTGTAAGAGTTGAATGATAACTTCAGTGCTTACTTTCAAGCTTAGTTGCAGTATTTCAAAGTGATACTGTACATTATCGTCGTCGTTATCATTATTATCGTTACGTTAAGTATGTAGACACAATAACTATATGCATAGTTATAAAGTTATGAAGTTACTCACACACTAGCGCAGAGAAACGCGCGCACATATATTCATATGCGAAGTAATATAAATAAAATAATAAAACATCAGCCATCACCAGGAAACCACTTGTAAGAGAAATCTTTTTCGTTATATATATTCTGTTTTTTTTTTTTTTGTTTTACAACGATATGTAAGAGGAATTACACAACAACAAAAAACATTAATAAAACGGCACAAGGCAAAAAAATTGTCTTGCGTACAAAATTGTTTTATGAACTATAAAGATGTACATGTGCTTACAATAAGTATGCGAGCGATTTTATGCACAACGGCGTATATATTTGTAAGTGTGTGTGTGTGTGTGTATGTATGTTTGACTGTGTATGGACATGAACAATAGATAGATTAAATGGAAATTGTGTCTTTTCGCTGTGGCGAACGCATTCTGCGTTTTCCTTTTTATAAATTTTTAACCATACCCATCGTTGTCATGTTGAACAAACAAAAGTATTAATTTCTTGGGCTTTCAGAGCATCTTCAGCATTTTTTCCTTACTTTTCCTTTCCTTTTTTTTTTTTTTGTGCTTGCATTTGGTTTTGGGTTTTGCTCCTTGTTTTCATATTTATATATATATATATATATATACTTTTGTTGTCATTTCTCATTCACAGCGGGACGTTGGTCGGCCTGGAGTGAATGGAGTTCATGCTCTTCCGAATGCATACAAATTCGTCGCCGGAAATGTATCGCAAGTACCGCTACTGTCATCATAGATGACGATGATGCAAGCCTAGGTATTAATGTTGGCAGCCTAAGCAGCAGCAACGGCCTAGCAGCTAGCGGTGGTGGTGGCATCATTAGCAGCAGTGCTGGCAACAGCAATGTTGGTAATGGCGGTGGTGGTGGTGGTGGCGGCGTTAATGGCAAGGCTCAGTGTAGCGGAAAAGACATACAGACAGCCGAATGTCGAGGGGAACACTGTCAGATTGGCAAAGATGGTGAGTTAAGTTATTGTTTATGGAGCATTAGGCGAGGAGAGGAGAACGAGATGAATGGGCCTTTTTTACTTTTTTTTTTTTTTTTTTTTTTTTTTTTTGTTGGGTTGGGGAGACTCGGGCAAAAGCAAGAGGATTTCAACATTAGAGAGTTTATTGTTTTGTTGTGTTGTTTACATTACTGATGAAACTCATTGTTGTCGTCATTATTGCTGCTGTTGTTGTTGTAATGTCGTTTCTTTACTGCTTATGACACATAACTGTTTTATGCAACATCCTTAAAAGACTTTCATGTGTGGCATTTTTTATGTCTGTCATCTGGATTTTATTACTTTTTGTCCGCTGCGTAGAATGAGGGTGAAGATGACAAACGAATGCAGAACGAAAGTATTATAAATTGAAATCTAGCCGTGCATTTTAATGGCTAAATAAACAGCACAGATAATAATCACAACTTTAAGGTTCTTAAATACAGTCACGCAAACAATTAACCAACCATTAAAATAGGTCATAGCAGTGAGATGATAAATATCTCATACATATATACCCAATCTGCCAACCCCACTTTCATTCATGCGTTCACGTCAATGATTTTTAAATTAATTAAATCAACATGGGTGACGATTTCATTTGCAGATTTCGATTGGACTCTTTACTTGGGCTTGGCATTTATAACTGCGGTCTTTTTCGCCTTCGGAGCTGCTTTAATATGTTGCGCTCGTCGTGGTATAAGAGTTAATCAACATTATGGTATGACTCGAACAGGTACCGTTTAGAGTTTATTACTTACAAACCAACAAACCAGTGGGAAATATTATTTTTTTTGGAAATTTTCTTTTGTTTTTTTTGTTTATAGTAATGGATCCCAAATATTTACCGGATATAAGTAAAAAGGATATGCGTATACATATCGAGACCACCAATGATAATTATGATTATGCTAGTCCAGGTCACAGATTTCTGCCGCCTTCACATCATGGCGTTTGCTCAGCCTCAGAGCATCATTACGATGTTCCGAACTTATCAGCTAAGTAGGTCTTTTCACAAGCTAACATAAGTTTTAATAACTGAGAAGAAAACATTGTGTTTTTTTTTGCAGTTATGTTAATCCTATAGATGACTTGAGCGCCGACTATCTCACCGACACACCGGACACTTCTACCGTTGATACCTGTAAGTATTTTTTTTTTTTTTTTTTTCTATAGGACTTTTCGATAAGGACGCTTCTCACTGAATTTCCTCTCGAATAAGTCGAAAACAAAAAACGTATTCAATGTGTTTCGAGACCAACCACCACACCTACCACTACCGTTTCGTGTTAACGGTGACATTTGAGCTAGTTTTCCATAGGAAATATAAGTTTATTGAGTCATCACAAACGGTCATCGAAGAATTCATTTTTGTGGGTATACTTGCGTTTTATGTAGGAATTCGGGTTTGCTGGCTCAATTAAAAGAATAATAAGAAGGACCCTTCATCCTATATAATAATTCCGGAAGAAATGAATCATCTGGATTAAAAAACGCGTTCACCGCATATATTACTTGTACGCCATTTGCTTTTTGTGGTGGGTGCGTGAATAAATGTTTGCCTTCTTTATTCGGGAGAATATAAGTAGTGGTGTGGAATGCTGTATAAAAGAGTGACATCTTCACTTGGAAATACTGCTTTTAACCTTAACGCACACAATGTAAGCCACCGCACTAGAGCGTGCGTGATGTATTTTCTGGAGATTTGAATAGGTGTAGCTTTTTGCCGAAGAACAGAACTTGCAAGACACATTACTTTTCCCGCTTAATTCAAGCTTCTCATCTACTCCTAGTTTTAAAATGTTTATCGGCACAAATGAACGATTAGCGGTAATTTAAAATCCCCTTTTTCTCTCATTAATCAATAAAACGCATGTCACCTGGCATGTATTTTTCGACATGAACCTCTCTCTCTCCTCAGCTTTCTCTTCGCAAATGACGTTTTTGAACGGTGAACGTGTTACGATATCCAAAGTTGAAATAATCGGGACGCAGCGTATAGTACATGCAGAGAATCATAAGAGAAAACTGAATAACCTTGAGGGCCCCACTTGGTGTGGTCAGTGGTGTATTATCATTTCTTCCCGTCCACACCATCGTTATAGGAAGTTACCAATAATAGCTGATGCAATTTGGACGAAGAACGGGACCAATATGTTGGAAGTTATGGTAGAGTTGTTATCACATAAAATAACATTCACTCAGGAAACTGTTGAAGTTCTGACCTAGAATCTCTTACCTTTCCTCCTATCATCAGCATCCATTACCCCTTTCGATCCACACGGGTTCCAATCGATGACTTGCTATATTATTATTGCTCAAATTCAGCGCCTGTAATGTGTAAATTCTGAGGATTATCGGCAATGTCGCGTACCGCTACGATATCAAGCATTGATAGTTCAATATTGAACTGCGGTTTACGTTGCTAACCGGCCGCAGGTATTTTTCGCTAGAAACAACGTGTAGTCAGTGTATTGGGATGACCGATAACTTCATCACTTGTAATTACGAAATTTTTGTTGGTCATCATCTTTGACTTTGCGGCAAAAATCGCTATCCTTCCCCATGTTTAGGTTGGGGACTAACCGACGGAAATTATGATGCAATGATTATGTGACTTCAGCTGAAACTATCGTGAGCAATACGCTACTAATTAGTCAAAGCTCCGTGCGTTTTATAAAAATGGGTTTCGTATAACTGGCATATACTCACCAAGCCGGTAAAATCGGCTCGTTTTAAGTACTCTGAGTACAAGGCATTTATTTCATTTTTTGCACTTTTTCTTCTTATTCGCATGGAATCGTTAGAAAGTATAGAAGACGATATACAGTGTCCAAGTGCAAAATGCTCAAACGTAGCGAAGGCGCACATCTTTAGATAGTAGATTTTGGGCAAGTTAGAGACTAGCAATTAACTTAAAGAATTATCGGGGACATAACCTCAACAATAATGCACGAAAATTGAGAGTCCTTAAGAAAAGTTCGTAGACTTTAGATTCAAAGAATTGAATAACTAATAATTTTGATTTTTTTAGCTAATTCAACATATGAAGGAAACGGGAAACTTGGTGGTTGCCATTCAGCCTCTAAAAGCTCTACTTATGATCAACTCAACTGTAACGGTGGCTCGCTATCTTTATATGCTGGGGAAATAATGCTTTATATACCCGAACACTCAATTGGCAAGAATATGCGTAAACATGTCTCGCTAATGCTGCTTAGTGATGAAACTTCGCGTATAAATATACCGAGTACCGAAACAATTTTGATAACCAGTATTATAATACATTGCTCGCCTCGCAATTACACGTTTCTCAAGCCGGTCATATTGAAAATTCCCCATTGTTTAGTGGATCCTGATTTGTGGAACGTTTCGATTTATCATGCCGATAACGATCACGACGATTTAAATATAAATTGGCGTAAAATTATTGCTGTAGGCGAGGAGACCATTAACACACCTGTATTCGTACAATTAGAACCTCAGCATGTTTACATAATGACCGAACAATTGGGTCGTTTTGTGGTAGTAGCAGAACCGAAACTATCAACAACAACACCATTAGAGAACTCTTTGAAAATGCGTTTATTAGCTTTTAGTCAATTTACACCGAGCAGCACAAATTGTAGCGTGCGTATTTATATAGTCAAAGATTTCCCTAATAGTCGGGATCTCTGCACTAGCATAGAATCTAAATTGGGCGGCTCATTTATGGGTGAAAGTGAACCGTTCGCATTCTTTTTAAATAACGGTAGCATGAATATACGTTTACGTAATGCCGATATCGAATTATGGGATTCGGATTGCGAAATGGATTTACACGAACAGATTATACCTTATAATCATATCTTAAGTAATAATTCGGTGCTGCATTGTGAATTTATTATAAAACGTAATGAACTTTTATATGCTGCCGTTAATTTACAAATCGATTTTGCTCAATACAGTGATAGTCATTTATATAGTGAAGTGCATTCCTTTAGTATAACAAGACAACCTACTAATATTCAAACATCAACGCCCCCTGCCTCCCTTGAACGTCAGGCGACCGTGACTATAGACAGTCATGGTAATTATGTGAATGAAGCGAGTCTACCGTTAAATGGTGTACATTTACCGCACGATACAAAACGTCGAATATGCTCGGCTTTAGATCCGCCAAGAGAGGATGAACGCGATTGGCGTTTATTGGCGAAAAAATTGAATACAGATCGTTATATAGCCTATTTTGCCACTAAACCCTCACCCACCGAACAAATTTTAAATTTGTGGGAATGCCGCGCTAGTCAACGTACATCGCCCGCTCATACTATCGTTGAATTGCTAATGATACTTAAAGATATGGAAAGGCAAGATGTCATGGATATTATAACCGAAACTATCGGTTCATTATGGATTTAAATTAAGGAACCAAAACAACGCAAAAAAAAAAAAAAAAAAAAAAAAAAAATTTAATTTTTTTAAAAAAATTTGAAAAAAAATTTAAAACCTACAAACGCAAAGATTTTTTAGATTCCCTTTTTTTAAAGAAACAAAAAAAAAAAAAAAAAAACAAAAACAAAATATATGAAACTAAGTTTAAATTATTATTTTTTTTTTTTTTATCTAACTTGTAAATTTTGTCGGTTTTCGCTTTAAGTTTTGTTATTATTTTTGAAGTGCAGTTTTGCTACAGCAAATTAAAAGAATTTAAATATTTAAAGGAGCAATCACAAGCAGGCAAAGTATTAAGGGCGCGATACCGCATTGACTCATATGATGTGAAAATTAAATTTTGGACATAGCAGGACGATATGATATTCAATGTAATGAAAGTGTATAAATAAGTTCTTGCCGGCTTTTCTAAGGCAGGGTTACAGGAGTAAGTTCGCACCACACGTTAAAACCTATTAACAAAAACTACCCAAGGTGGGTGGTGAATTGGGGCCAATATTGGATCCAGGCAATAAATAAGATAGATGCGACAAACCATTTTAAAAATGGCTACATGTAATCCAGAAGAACACCAATGCTACGACAAAAATGCAATAGTCGGGGAAAATGAGTTCCACAACAGTTGAGAAAGAAAACAGAAGGAGAAGGAATGTGTGCAATGCTGCTTTAGGTATCTGATCAGAGTAAATCGTTTTAAAATCGTAAATAGTTAAGCGCAAGGCAAAAGTGAATGTATTTGGAAAATCCAAAGCATAGAAGAAATGCAGATTTATCCACAGTAGCTATCAACGCCGACAGTAACCGGCATTGATCGAAAAATAGCCGGTATAAAGAAAATCTTTACGACAATATATATCAGCGCATGAAACAAGACCAGTTAATGGCAGGCACGCTTTAAGTAAGCGCGTAACTGGGATGTGTGGCACACTAAGGCGAATTCACTAGACTTCAAATGTCAAAAGTCAACGTTACCGACAGCAAATCGCCAAACTAAATGCTGTTAATACGCTTGCCGGCATAATAATTCTATCTCTGGCATATTCACTCTTCTACTACTTAGTTGCATCGATGGAGCAAACATTTTCTAAACAGCACGTCGACAGCAATGAAGAGCTTGAAAAATGTCTTGACGGATGATGTGCTTTAAAAGACAAACAATTGTTCTAAAAGGTACTCCAGAAACTGCTGCTAAAAAGGATATTAGAAAAATGTGTAGCTAGCAGTGGACAATACTTCAGTTAAAGTATTTTTGACCATTTCCTTGATGTAAGCGCTTTTTTTTTTCAAATCAGTAGCTCGGAAAGAACTTATTTGTACTTTATTGTAGATGCAGAAGGACATTTTCAGTGGATAATCGCTGCCCATGTTAGGCCTTTAAAGAAATGCAAACATTGCGGAGTAGATTTCTCGGGGCCAGGAAGAAATAAATAGTCAGCGTACCAGGCATATAAATCTGAAACTAGGTGTTACCTACAGATGGCCCTAACAGTCAATTAAGTTACTGTCACATCGCATCATGGGGCGTCATTAACTCTTGCTGACAAAGATTTCCAAGTCGCAACAACAATGCAAGTTTCATGCACAAAGTTGGCTTGGAATAGCGTTGAACATGTCAAATTTTCACAAACACGAAGATGTGAAAAAACCATTCGATCAATGCTA